TATATATATATATATAACAAGTTGTTTATACAATCATTACTCACCGAAAATGTTGTTTAAATACAGTTCTGGAATAGTCCGGTATTACTCTTTCCACATAAGGTGCGTTCCACTAAACGTTCGCAACGATCGCGTATATCATCTCATCCTTATTTAATATTCGATTACAAAAAGGACAAAATAATACTCGTGAGCGTTGCGAACGTTAAGTGGAACGCACCCATAGTCACTCAATTTTTCGGAAATCACCATTTCCCCATGCGTAGTGTCAATCATTAATACAGCATACAATAATTCTTCTTCATTGAGACCATTTTCATTTTCACTGTCTTCATTTTCGCTACTATCGCTACAACTATCGATAATAATTTCGTTATTTCTCAACACGAAGCTTACGCTTAACAGCTTAATGATGTTGACATCCATATTTCGAATCACATGGCACATGCGTTCGCATCAAATGCATGAAACCGTTCCGTTTCTAAGCGAGCATAAAACGCATTGATGAAACGGAATGATATACATGTGTGCAGCGCATTGACTGCTACATATGCGTTCGATGCGAGAAACGAAACGCACCCATAGACTGCGCATCTCAACAGGCCGACTGTCGTCTGGACTAGAGAGAGAAAGCATGAGTGATCGGAGCTTTGTCTCTTTCTAACGATGGTAATGGTGGGGGACTCTGACAAGAACTGAGGGAGAGAAGGCTTCTTCCCCACCTATAGCTTAACCAGTATAAGCACCTTAGTTATTGTTTTGTGATAAGCATCCTACACCCAAGCACAACTGAATTACGTACTGCAGCCTGTTTCTTTCGATGTCCACGATATTGTTATTTAAAGTAAAATAACGGAGCAATTAGAGAAAAATGGTTTCTGATTGTTGTATATGTAAAGTGTCCCAAGGAGTTATTGATAATGTGTCGTTTCACAGGTAAATAAAATGTCATTGTATATAGATTATGTTTACACGAAAAATATATATGTATGCTAATATGAGTAATTGTTTAGTTTCCCTAAAAACGACGAACGAAGACAGCAGTGGCTGAAAGCTGTGAACATGACAGCTTCTAAAAGAAGTTTTGTTTGCAGTCAGCATTTTTGCGAAACAGACTTCATTTACAAAGTCGTTGGAGATAGTGTGCGTCGATTTTTAAAAGAAACTGCATGCCCAACATTATCACTTGCTAATAATTCTATAAGGTAAGAAATAAATAGGCACAATTCCTTTAACTTATTTTCGTTTTATGAACAAAACGTGTAATATAAAAATATACTTCAGAGTGGCCAACACAGGAGGTATTTGCAAATCAGCGTCAGAGGATAAAGAAAATGAAAACTCTTGTGAGATCATGTGGAATCAAAATGTAAATAGTTCTATATCCGAAACTGAATCTTCCAGTAATGGAAAAATTGATGAAACAAGAAAAAGGTTCGTTAATTTTTTTGTAACGAAATAAGTTTTTCTTAAAAAGAAATATAATTGTTTTATATATAATTGTATACTATTGCAGGAAAAATTGTGAGGAATTAAGTTTTGATGCAAAGAGAGTGTGCAATCCTCGGTACATGGGAGATCTTCGTCAAGAACATTTTGCTTCCGAGGCAGTTTATTGTATTGTAAAAAAATACTATGGCGAAACTAAAAAAAAATTAAATACCTTGCACCAAAAAGTTAATCGACTGCAGAAGAAATTTAATAGTATGGAAGAAGTGACAAAACACTTAAAAAGTATTGGACTTTTGTCTCATGAAACAGAAGAAGCTTTACAAGTAGGTGCCGAGGATCTGCATAAACAGCGACTTATTTCGTAAATGAAATTGAAATAATAACTATGTAATGAAATTACAAAGTACAGCGTAATCTTTTTTATGATGATTCATCATACATTTGTATTTTGTGATTTTTATCAAATTTTATTGTAATTAATTTTTTTTGTAATCATGTCTTGAAAGATTTTGTCTCTATTGAGAACAACAATGAATTTTTAATTTTTTTGACTTAGTGAGTCGAGATATTTACATGTGTATTTAAAATAGTACAAGAACCAATCGATAAACATATATATTTTGAGTAGAACAACATTTCTACAGATATGGAGTTTTTGTTATGTAATTTTACTGAAGTAGTATGTTTTTTCAGTACTATAATTTTTTCACAACGAATCATGTATTTATAGATTTCTATTGTTATATTTTTTTCAACGAGCTAGATAAACATATTTTTTTTTATACACAGCAATAATTATTTTTAAAATATCTTTTGAATTGTATATAATAAGAATTGTACATGTTGTGAATTGCATACAATATGAATTGTATAATATTATGAATTGGTATGTAGAAATGTATTTTAATTAAATATCTTTCACTTTAAAATCAGTATTTTTTTAAATATACCTCAACCTTATTTATTAGTTCCCTAGTCCATTTTATTATCATTTCACATTAAAACCATTTCAGAAAGAAACTACACCTGTCCTTCTGGAAATGTTCAAGAAATGCTTAACAAACAATAAACCGCCAGAATATTCAATCGAACTAAAGAAGTTTGCTTGCACATTACTTTTTTATTCCACACCCGCTTACAAATTCATACGAGAATCCTTCAACAACACTTTGCCGCATCCTCAAACTGTCAGAAGATGGTTTTCGACAGTAAATTTCAATCCAGAAATAAACAAGTCTATCTTGATAAATATTAGAAACGTGATAGAATCAGAACGTTCGAAAGATAAAGAGTTGCAATTTGGCATGCAAGTAGACGAAATATCGTTAAAAAAAGAAATTGAATTCAAACACGGTGAATGTTACGGCTTAGTTGATATTGGTGGATCGAATAACACAGACAAAAGTAAAGAGGCTTCCTACGCACTTGTATTCATGCTAGTGTGTCTTAACGGGCATTTCAAAACACCAATAGCGTACTACTTCGTGAAAAGCTTGAGTGGAGAAGCAAGAGCTAATATTTTAAAAGAATTATTGACTGCACTTCATGAAAATGGCATAAGTGACGTACGTTCCATAACATTTGACGGAGCTGCTACAAATTCGGCAATCTTACTTAGGTGCAAATATCAAGAGAATTGACGAAGATTGTTTTTTCGAACATCCCGTGACGAAAGAACCAGTTTATGTTGTTCCAGACGCGTGTCATGCTTTAAAGCTTGTCCGAAATACTTTTGCTGACTGTACAATTTATGACCATGAAAATAATGTTATTCGCTGGAGTCATTTACTCAACTTGGTTGAAATTCAGGAACGAGAGGGACTTCATCCAGCAACAAAAATACGTCGTCGTCACGTATGTTTCCAAAACGAAAAAATGAAAGTGAAGTTGGCCGCTCAAGTCCTTAGTGAGTCTGTAGCCAAAGCTCTATTGTATATGGAAAAAAGGTTTCCTAATCAGTTTATTGGCGCTAGTTCAACTTCAATTTTTTGTCAAACTTTTAATGATTGCTTTGATATTCTGAACTCCCGTCGTCAATGCGGTAAAAACACGTGAAAATATTGTCGAGTTGGAAAAAAAAAAATTTGATTTCATTGGGTACATTAAATCTCTTCGCATATTAAAAGGCAATACAATGAAACCTATTCTAGAGAGCTCGCGAAAGACTGGTTTTTTAGGTATCATCGTTGGCATGCAAAGTGTATTTAGAATATCTCATTATTTATTCACAAACAATTTAATAACATACGTGCTGACATACAAATTTTCTCAAGATCATCTTGAAACATTTTTTTCGAGTATACGGAAAATGGGTGGATTTTGCAATAAACCGACCTGTTATCAGTTTAAAAACAGTTACAAAAAATTAGTATCTCACGTAAATGACATTAACGTTACTAATGCAAACTGCCTTTCACAAGACGATACAAGCACTTTACAAATAGAAAAACAAAAGGAAGAGATGGATTTGCAAAATTTGCTTCACGCAGCATGTGATCATGATTATGATGGAATGAAAGGATGGGCTTGGAGTGAATATCATTCAGACATCGTGACGTATATTGCCGGATTTATTGTCAAAAGTGTACAAAAAACTAATCACTGCAAAATGTGTTTAGAAACCTTGCAAAGTCCTGAAAACAAATGCGAATTAATTAGTTTAAAAAATAGAAAGTTTAAGAAATGTAACGATGAAAGGCAATCTTCTGGATTAATCTTTCCGAGTGAAGATGTCATTACGGTTTGTAAAATAGCTGAACAAGTTATTAGAACTACTAATAACGTATTTGCTACAAAAAATATTTTAGATTTTTTAATTATCACAGCTCGAAAACAAATTTTACCACTGCATCTTTTCAAAGAATTAGACTTAGCTGTCAGTAAACACGTTTTATATAATCATAAATTCCAGTTAATTAATCAAATACTTAAAAAATATTTCACTGTCAGATTACAACACGCAAGTAAAAGTTTACGAGACACCATACCGAGGATACGTACACATTTCAATAGACTTGTTATATTTAAAAATCAATAAAATCATACCACGTAATTAATATTTACTTCTTCATTACCTTTTCTATTTTTCGGTACTTTATTAGTATTTTATATTATTTATTTGGTTAATAAATAAATAAATAAATAAAAATTTTTTACATTTACATAGTTATTTCACTTTTCTTTGCAGCAATAACAAAACAAAAAATCGAAATAAACAGGCTGCAGTATGTACACTAGGGAGCAGGGATTCTGTCACAAATTAGGTGACAGAAGATAGCGGTTAATATGTGAAAATAGAGAAAAGATATGACAGAATCCCTGCTCCCTAATGTATGTACTTCAATCACCGAATATGTAGGGTGCTTAAAGGAAAACATGGGAAAATGGGAGAAGTATTCTCGAAAATATAAAAAATGTTGGGAAAGAGAGAAGAAATTGAAACGTAAATTTTAACATAACCTTTTTGTTTATTTTTTATGAATAATCCCTTTATATTTCTTTCTATTCATATCTATTCTATTTTATATCTATGAAAAAATAAACAGGAGTGTTTAATTTTTTTTCAATAAATAGGGTGGCTTAGTAAAAATAAAAAATTTGAAACTGATCCTGAGTTCAGAGAAGCCAGGTGTACAGTTTGTGAAGTTAATTTGAGAGCTCATCATGCAGACCGTCTAAAACACGCAGAGACTGCCAGGCACAAGGCAAATGCTTCTAGATACAATCTCCACAGGAAAGAGTAGGCTATCCTTCCTGAAAGTGGTACATCAAGTTTCTATCATTGCTAATAATTATATTTTGACTACACATTTTCTAGATTTTTAATATTTTTTTATTTGTTCAGGCATCTCAGTTATGGACCGGAAAGCTAAACAAATTGATCTTTGTTTGACCGTTCATATAGCAACACATACAGCCGTAAGAAGCATAGACTATTTGGGCGAGCTACTGTCAGTGCTAGGAAAAAACTCTGC